CAAATAGGAACCGACGGCTATAGAAAACCTAAAAAGGCCAATATCATGTGAAGGAGTAACAGAAAACCTTCCCAGAAGGAAAAGCCCAGGACCAGATGGATTCTCCGCTCCCAGACCTTCAAAGAAAAACCAATGCAGAGTTCCTCCAATTGTTCTGTAAAATAGCAAAGGGGGCAGCGCTAGCAAACTTAGTCTATGACGCCAATATTACCCGATCACAAAACCAGATAAAGACACACGAAGAAAATAAAACTGTAGACCAATTTCCACGATGAACATAGATGCAAAAATTTGTAATAAAATAATAGCAAACCATATTCAAAACCCCTTATAAAGGCTGCATACGACGATCAAGTTAGACTCAACCCAGGATGCAAGCTTGGTTCAATACCCACCAGTCAATCAACATGATTCATCACATAAGTAAAACCAAAGACAAAAATCACATGATCATCTCAATAGATGCAGAAAACCCTGGGGACAGAATCCAGCACCCATTCACTGGCTCAGTGGTTTAACGATGGCTAGCCTGTGTAGGCCCCAGGTTGAATCTCCAGCACTGCAAATAACAACCAACCAACCAAAACAAAACAAAACTCTGATGAAACTAGGGACAGAAGGAACTCACCTTAGCATCATGAAATCCCTATGTGAGAACTCCAAAGTCCCCGTCATACTGAGCATTGCCTCCAGAGTCAGAAACATGACAAGGATCTCCATTCTCACCACTCCTATTCAGGATCGTTCTTGAGAGTGTAGCCAGAGCAATCAGGCAAGACAAGGAAATTCTAGGGATACAAATAGGACAAGAATAAGTTCAAATATCTTTGATGACTGATGCTTAAAGGAACCAAAAACTTCACCAGAAACTTCTAGATCTGGTAAACATAATGTGACAAGGAATTTGCCAGCTTCTCTTCCAATAAGGAATTAATAACAAGGATATATAAAGAACTAAAAAGCATAACACCTAAAAAACTAATAACCTACTCAATAAATGGCCAAATGACCTAAAGAGGCATTTCTCAAAACAAGAAATGTGAATGGCCAACAATCATAGGAAAAAAGGTTCCACAACTCTAACAATCAGGGAGATACAGGCCAAAATCACACTGATCATCAAGAATACAAATAACAATGAATAGAGGCAAGAATATGGGGAGAAAGAACACGCATACCTTGTTGGTGGGACTGCCAAATAGCACAACTACTTTGAAGAGCACTATGGAGATTCCTCAAAAGACTAGGAATAGAGCCACATATGACCCAGTGACCCCACTTCTTGGTGTTTATCCAATAGAACTTAAATCAGCATAGTGTAGTGATTCAGCCACATCAATTGAATCTCCAGCACTGCAAATAACAACAAATATCAATGTTTATAGCCAAATTATGGAACCAGCCAAGGTACCTGTCAACAGATACATGAACAAAGAAAATACAATTGATACACAGTGGAGTTCTACTCAGCCATAAAGAAGAATGATATTACAGCATTTGCTGGAAATGCTAAAGATAAAAAAGAGATCTCACAAAAATAGAGAGAGAT